TCAGCCATTACTCCTAAAATGTTGGTGGATCTTTTAATGGAGAAGAAAATTATTGGAATATTTGGCTGTGCAGTTCAAATGTTTTTTTGTGTTCTCTGCGGGAGCAGTGAATGTCTCCTGCTGGCTGTGATGGCCTTTGATCGGTATGTGGCCATCTGTAACCCACTGAATTATTCAGCCATCATGTCAGGAAAATGGTGTTTCTGGCTAGTAGCTGTTTCTTATGTTCTAAGCATTTGTTATTCAGTTTTATATATTGTGTGTGTCTTTAGTCTACCCTTTTGTGGATCAAATGTGATCAATCATTTTTACTGTGATATTCCTCCGCTGCTAAAACTTTCATGCTCTGATACTCGCATTAATCAGATAGTAATATTTGTACAAGTAAGTATAAATTGCATAAGTACTACAGTGGTTATTCTGATTTCATATGCCTGTATTCTGTCTACCATTCTGAAGATCCGCTCCACTACGAGCAAATCCAAAGCTTTTTCTACCTGTTCTTCTCACCTGATTGTTGTCAGCTTATTCTACGGGACAATCTTTTTTATGTATTTACGGCCCAGTTCTACATATGCACTAGAGGAAGACAAAGTGGCATCTTTGTTTTATACAGTGGTGATTCCCATGTTGAACCCTCTCATCTACAGTCTGAGGAACAAAGATATGAAGGAGGCATTTCAGAAAATTTTGGAAAAATTGCCGTAACTTGAAAGAACAATATTAGATTAGTAAAAGTGTAGATACTTATATATTATCCATGCAACTTTACTTGTCTGAAATAGTGTTCTCTATGGGCTGAGCACACAGCCAGGAGACTGAATGAATTCTGACCCAGGTCATAAGATCACTATTTAAATTAGACCTGCAAGGATAACTCTTCTTTCAAATTCTGCCTTTCCATGGATATATATTTGTTTTCACAGGAAGCATTAAACTTGGATTTGCTGGTACTTGTAACAACATAATGCCACAAAAAGACATAATGTGATCCTGCCAATAACACATATCGAAATAGTGGGGTGCCCCAGGGCTCTGTTCTGGGTCCAGTACTCTTCAACATCTTCATCAATTATTTGGATGAAGGGATAGATGGGGAACTCATCAAATTTGCAGACACCAAGCTGGCAGGAATAGCCAACAATCCAGAAGATAGGCTTGAGATACAAAAGGATTTTGACAGACTTGAACATTGGGCGCTATCTAACAAAATGAAATTCAGTGGTGAAAAAGTAAGGTTCTACATTTAGGCAAGAAAAACCAAATGTACAGGTATAGTATAGGTGGTACCTTGCTCAATAGTAGTAACTGTGAGAGGGATCTCGGAGTCCTAGTGGACAATCACTTAAATATGAGCCAGCAGTGTGCTGCAGCTGCCAAAAAAGCCAACACAGTGCTAGGCTGCATTAACAGAGGGATAGAATCAAGATCATGTGAAGTGTTAATACCAATTTACAATGCCTTGGAAAGACCACACTTAGAATACTGCATCCAGTTTTGGTCACCACAATGTAAAAAAGATGTTGAGATTTCAGAAAGAGTACAGAGAAGAGCAACAAAGATGATTAGGGGACTAATCATATAAAGAACGGTTGCTGGAATTGGGTATGTCTAGTTTAATGAAGAGAAGGATGAGGGGTGCCATTATAGCAGTGTTCCAATATCTCAGGGGCTGCCATAAAGAAGAGGGAGTCAAGCTATTCTCCAAAGCACCTGAAGGCAGGACAAGAAGCAACGGATGGAACCTAATCAAGGAGAGAAGCAACCTAGAACTAAGGAGAAATTTCCTGACAGTTAGAACAATTAACCAGTGGAACAACCTGCCCCCAGAAGCTGTGAATGCTCCAATGCTCTGGAAATTTTTAAGAAGAGCCATTGGTCTGAAATGATATAGGGTTTCCTGCCTGAGCATGAGGTTGGACTAAATGATCTCCAAGGTCCCTTCCAACTTTATTACTATTATTATTATTATTATTATTATTATTATTATTATTATTATTATTATTATTATTATTATTATTATTATTATTATTAAACCTAAATATTTGTATGGCTATTTAGGTTATCAGTCTCTAAATATTTACTTAAGTATCTGAGTGAGCAATGGGAGAATAAAATCTTACATTGCCTTCAAAAATCCAATGAATGCATACATTTTTGAGAAATATGATTTCAGGATATAACATTAGGGGAGAAGCTATTTTTTTCCTCTGTACAAATATTATGCAGTTTAATTTGTTGAAGAAAAATATCAATTTGCCTTCTGGTGGATGCAGGTTTGAATCACTGAGGAACAGGTGAAAACCAGCTTGCCCATAGTTTCCTTCACATTGTGCAGTCTAGGGAATGGTTACTAAGTTCTGGTATGCATATGCAATGATCTCATTATCCAGCATGCACTTAAAATGAATATATGGATCACCGCATTTGAATGAACTAGGAGCCACAAATGCATTTCTTACCAATAGGGTTTGCAACCACCTTTTCTAACTCAGTACAAAAAAAGTCAATAAAATCACATTCAATGTGACCCAACCATATTCAAACATAATACACCTTTCTGAACATCCAGAAGTTTTTGAACTGAATGCCCATTAATATGATTGCCAAGGGTCTTGCCAAGAAGTTATCATTTTGGATTGCTTTAAAAACAGATACCGATGTCACTAATTAGTAGGTACATGGCCCTTTTATGGTCATGAACAAATTTCATCCCTGAGGCTGCACACATCTATTTTTTTTCCTAAAATTGAAACAAGCCATCATCTCTTTTTCTATGTATCATTGAATTATGATTTTTCTAGTTGATTTTTGAAACTATGCTCAATAAAGAAATTTGTGATTTCATTTCAAACTTAAATTTAAAAAAATCTGCATTGTACTATGTATATCTTTCCACTGCTTCAGGTTTTTTTTAACAGGTCCACTGTCTGTGTCATGGCATTTCCAACATTTATCTTAGATATTATGGATGGAGTTGTACAACATTTATACAATATTTTGTAGCCATTTTTTAAAGTTATAGGTTGGTGTAAATTTTAAAGATTTTTAGTCCATCATTCTTCCCATTGTCGTGTTGTAACTGATTCTTTAAAATTCCGTATCCATTTTATCATACAGTTTTTAATTTGTTCTGTCTCTGTATCATATCTTTTTTCTATTATTTTTATTGAAGAGTTTTAAAAGGAAGTTGAAAACTTAGGCAAACTAATATAAGTTAGAAAAAAGAAGAAATCAAAGAGAAAGGTAAAAGTGCAAAAAGTAAAAAAAAAAAGTAAAAAAAGAAGAAAACAAAAAGGGCAAAAATGTAGCTTCCAATCTTCTTTACAGCAGCTATAAGTACAAATATAAATTAACAAATGGTTAACTGATGGTTAACTGATTGCTTTATTTGAATGACAGACTGTCTGTCTGTATAACTTTAAGTCACTATGTCCAGGAAAATGTGTGCTTGGCTTGTAACTGGTTCTTGTGCAGTTCATTCATTTACACATAACATATTCACATTTACTTTATCTTTTTGTGGCTCAAATTAAGTCAATAATTATTTCTGTGATATTCTTCCACTGCTTAAGCTTTCTTGTTCTGACACCCATTTTTATGAGACAATTATATTTGCTCTGGTTAGTATCAATTGTGTAACCACCACAATGACCATTTTCATCTCTAACTTTTGTATCCTGATTGCCGTCTTAAGGATAAGCTCCACAGAACGTAGACTGTGGTGGCCCTGTTCTATGGGACAATTTTCTTCATGTATCTATGACCAACCTCTACTTACCCTCTGGATCAAGACAAGGTGGCATCTTTGTTCTGCATAGTGATGATCCCCATGCTGAATTCAATGATCTATGCCTTGAGGAATCAAGAGGTGAAATGTGCACTTCAAAGAATGATTAGGAAATCTGTTCTTACAAAATGGAAGAGCAGAATAATAGAGACACTTTAACTCTGCTCTCTCCCTGATTACAATTATATTAGAGCTATTTGCAATTGATCAATACTTCAGATTGTGGTTCTTAGGTGTAAAATTTTTGACCAGTTATTGATCTTCAGATGTTATTGAAAGTACTCATATTGAAGTCTGACAACATTTGATATTCTACAATCTTGAATAGGATCAGTTCCTGGTAGAATATTAAGGTTCTGTTTCCACAGAGGCTGAAGCTGTGGTCATCAGAGGACATTAAATTCATATTAGTGACATCTGGGAAAGTAAAACTAGTCATTATAGTCCCTCTCAAAAGTAGGTTCAAGTACAGCAACAACAGTTAACATTTGTAGCAATCTCTTTTTGTGTATATAAAGGACAATCACAAAGTCTGATGCAATTTTTAAAAATTTACATCGTGCCAGAATAGCATTTTATAGAGTACTGTACCTCTTCTATATTGGTGATAGAGATACAACTACAGCTGATAATGAAGTGCAGATTCTAGCATGCCTCTGATATTCCTTTGTCTTCAGGTTTTTGTAGTTTAACATTATCTGAATGTTAATATTATTATACTCCACTGGTCTCTGTAACCTATAGAAATGAAATCTCCAGTCTTGCCTGTTTTCTATCCTATAAGAGGAATTGCTCAGAATGAAACACACTAACAACATGCCAGTTCCATGTCAAAATTGTGCTGGTATTATAGTCCAGAGTGTTTCTCGATATTATAAAGGATAATGCAGTACTGACAATTTGCAGAATATAAGGATTTATTTGAAAAAAAGAAATTGTTACTTCTATGATAGATCAATAAAATATTTATTTATTTATTTATCTCACTTATTTTAAACGCTTTTATGCCAGTTCAGTGAAATGATTGTAAGTGGTTTACAAAACAGATACAATAAAATTGTAGAACACATAAACAACATCTCAGTTAAAGCATGATCACAATATCATAATTAGCAACACCAACTTCTGCATTAGGTATCTCTATCCTTCATGTCACCACCCCCAAATGTCTGCTAAGTCACCAAGTTTTCACTAATCTTCCAAATCTTAACAACAAGATTGTTAGCCTTAGTTCAGCAGGGAGCTGATTCCTCAAGAGGAGAGCTCCAGCAGAGAATGCTAGTTCCTAAGGCACACCACAAAGGGTGGGGAGAAGTAACATGGTTTCTGTGCATTGGCATGTAATAGATGAGCAGATTCGATCTAGAAAAAACAGCCCTACAGATTTCCAAGTTCTAAGCATGTAGGTCTTTATAAGTTTATTTTTAGCACCATGAATTGTACCTGGAATCAAACTTGTAGTCAATACAGCACCTGAAGTCCTGGAATTTCATAATAGCATTCTGTACCTGCTGAAGTTTCCAGTTGGTTTTCAAGAGCAGTCCGCTACATAGCTAAATACAGATTAACTACTAGCAATTTTAAAATAAATGATTTAAAATATTACTATCTAATCAAAACTGAGTTCCTAAAATTGATGCTTCTGTATATCTAAGGCAATAATTGTTTTTATGTTTTGATAGTTATCAAGCACTATTTGTAAAATATTTGAAATCTTGGCCTGCAAGAAAGAAGCTTACATAAAGTCACAGGAGAGTCTAGGAAACACGCAATAACCAGAGTTATTAATAGAGTTCCCTAAATATCTAGAGAAGGATCAAAGCCAATGAATTCTCATATAGACACATTTATGTCAAGGGATTTTATTAAATCTGCCCTCCAAAACTACATAAGGATAATCTTAAAATACACTATCATGAACCTGCTATGCGGTTCTCAACCTGTGGGTCGCGACCCCTTTGGGGATCGAACGACCCTTTCACAGGGGTCGCCTAAGACCATCGGAAAACACATATTTCTGATGGTCTTAGGAACCGAGACACCGCTCCTCTATCTGTCTCCAGGCTGCGGATTAGTCCATGCTGGCGCGAGGCCGGGGTCCGGCAGGGTCAGGCGGCAAGGCTGGGTGCTGGTGGAGGAGGAGGGGTGGGCCGTGTGGAGCGAGGTACGGGGCAGGAGGGCGGCGAGGAGGCGGGTGCTGCAGCTCCTGCTGCTGCTGCTGCTGAAGCGGCCAATCATGACACAGAAGCGCCACGGCATGGAGCAGCGCGGCCGAGGGCAGGCGGGCAGGCTGAGGGGGAAGCGCGTCCCTCCGCATGATAAAATCGCAGGCAGTGCCACCACACCAGCATGCGCGGTGCTCCTGGGCCAAGGCAGTTGCTGGGCGACAGCCCGCGTGCGCCCTCAGACTGCCCGGCGCGTGCTCCAGCCGCAGGAGAGGAGGCGG